CCGCAGTTACATTTTTCTCGGTTTACTGTTAACTTCCTCATAGGGATAATAGTAATATTGCGGGAAATTTCGTTGGAAACAAAGAAAAGCGTACTCTACTGTTACGTGATATCTGTCCTCCAATAAGGCAGCCAATGGCAATCTCTACAAAGATGAAGAAGAGACTTGAAGCAACAGAAGTATGGATGTACAGAAAGATACTACGGATACCATAGGTCGAACATGTGAGCTCCAACGACGTTTTGGGGAAAAGGAAACAAAAAGAAAACATACTTAACATTAGGAAGAGGTAGTTGAAATTTCCATGTCACGTAATGAGGAAAGAGGGCTTGGAAAATCTGATACTCACAGGACAGAATGAGGGAAAGTGGGACAAGGGAAAACCATGCGTGACATACTTGATAGTGTTGAGTAAATGGATGGTAGAATAGGGTTTAGGATAAGTACCAGAAAAGGCAAAGGTTACAAGGAACAGTAAGATGTGGAGAGCCATGATCATCTCCGTTCTTAAAGGACATGACAAATAAAAGACGAATATTTCGATACTTTAGACTAGCACCCAAAGAATCTATATATAGATGGGAAAGGGCAGAAAAATACCAATATTGAAAGAGGTACTAACATTATACCCTTCCCCATGCATACAAATTCCTTTAGATTAGTTGCTTTTGTTTTACGGCATATCAGCAACTCAGTGGGTTGTTTAATGCCGACAAAATATTTAGGACAGCTTCGTATGAATAGAATATTTATTCTTTGTAAGAAATCAGTTTGGTTTGGTTTATTTTGTCTTACGGCATATCACCAACTCAATGGGTTATTTAATGCCGACAAGATATTTAGGATAGATTCGTATGAATATGTTAGGTACCTATTCTTTGGTAATGGACTCTCCCATAGATAATAAGTAGGAGTAGCAGTGGCAAGTCTGCGGAACGGTGTTGAGCGGTCTCTGACTGCGCACGCCTTCTGTCGAACTCTCTGCATTAGCAGAGAGGAACCCGGACGAGGCTTTGCCGAAGGGCAATGTTTCGTCCGGGGAGGTAGACAGGGCCTGAACCCGTCTAATCGGCTTCAAAAGGCTATTTTTTTGGCCGAGCCTACGGGCTCGGAGAAACCCACAATAAAACCGGCCTTGTGCCATATTCGTTTCCCGTGGGTGAAATGATAAATACCGAACGGTGTTGAGCGGTCTCTGACTGCGCACGCCTCCTGTCGAACTCTCTGCGTTAGCAGAGAGAAACCCGGACGAGGCTTTGCCGAAGGGCAAGGTTTCGTCCGGGGAGGTAGACAGTGCCTGAACCCGTCTAGGCGGGTTCAAAGGCTATATTTTTGGCCGGGCCTACGGACTCGGGGATACCCACATTAAAACCGGCCTTGTGACATATTCGGTCCTCGTGGGTGGAACGATAAATACTGAACGGCGTTGAGAACGTCAGTCGAGATTCGGACATTTGAAGTACCAACCATCACAACTAGATTTGCTGCGTCATTGACTATTATTTTTCCAAGTTCCTAACGTTTTGTACGACTTATTAGAAATACAAGCCTCCACTGTGAAAATACTCCACAACAGAATAGAATATGTATTCTTAGTGAGAAATCACTTTGTAGATCAGGTTCCATTGACGTTTTTTTTGTAAACAGGTTGTTTTTTTTTTATTGCTAGTCATATTTTTTCACGGATATATTGCAGGTAATACTTTTTTTTATCAGAAACGCATTACTGGTAGTATTTTTTTCCAAAAATGTGTTGCAGGGATTTTTTTCCTATAAAAATTATTTTTACACTTTCATAATGTTTTGAACACAGTTTGGGGGTTAACTATTTGTTTGCGAACAACAGTAATTAGGAGTTGCTCAGAGGCCTTGCTGCCGGATGTAGTTTATCGTCACACCCAGAACCCCTCCCGATCACAGGCTTTACTGCCGGATGTAGTTTATCGTCACACCCAGAACCCCGCCCGATCACAGGCCTTACTGCCTGATGTAGTTTATCGTCACACCCAGAACCCCTGCCGATCACAGGCTTTACTGCCGGATGTAGTTTATCGTCACACCTAGAACCCCTCCCGATCACAGGCCTTACTGCCGGATGTAGTTTATCGTCACACCCAGAACCCGTCCCGATCACAGGCTTTACTGCCGGATGTAGTTTATCGTCACACCCAGAACCCCTCCCGATCACAGGCCTTACTGCCGGATGTAGTTTATCGTCACACCCAGAACCCGTCCCGATCACAGGCTTTACTGCCGGATGTAGTTTATCGTCACACCCAGAACCCCGCCCGATCACAGGCCTTACTGCCGGATGTAGTTTATCGTCACACCCAGAACCCCTCTCGATCACAGGCTTAACTGCCGGATGTAGTTTATCGTCACACCCAGAACCCCGCCCGATCACAGGCCTTAGTGCCGGATATAGTTTATCGTCACACCCAGAACCCCTCCCGATCACAGGCTTTACTGCCGGATGTAGTTTATCGTCACACCCAGAACACCTGCCGATCACAGGCCTTACTGCCGGATGTAGTTTATCGTAAAATCCAGAACCCCTCCCGATCACAGGCCTTGCTGTCTGATGTAGTTTATCTTCATACCCAGAAACCCGCCCGTTCAGAGGCCTTACTACTGACTGATGTAGTTTATCGTCATACCCAGAATCCCTCCAGATCAGCGGCCTTGCTGCCTGATGTAGTTTATCGTCATACCCAAGACGCTGTAGATAAATCGTATGAACACAAACCATAACCAGTGCTCTGAAAGGGAAAGTGGTACAGTAGTCTGGAATTTAATCATATATATTTTCTGCAGTATATATCATGAAATACACAAAATTTTCTGTTTATACATTCTTTTTATAGATAGAAATATTTAAGTAAATGCTCTGTTTTATAATAAACAGTATTAAACAACATTTACCGGCCTGAATGTCCGAGAAATTTCAAGGAAAATATGTGTCTTCCGAGTGGAATCAAATCTGTAACTTACACGGAACCGTTACATAGCCTGACGTGCTATACCATTTAGCTACAGAGGAAGCGTCCGGATTGCAAGGTTAAATTACTGAAATTACGATATGAATAGCAATTTCTCGGAAATTCAGGTTGGTAAATGTAAATATATTAAAATAATTGTCGGATTGAGTTTATTTTGTAATACATAATGTCATTTGTTAAGTATAAGAGTCATTATTTTTACCTTTTCTTCAAAACTTCGTCTTCACTCATGTTTAGACCATGGTATTCTCAACATCCTTCTGTAGAACCATATTTCTTTTGCTTCAAGACTCTTCGTCATCTGTGAAGACATTGTTCAGTATTCACTCAAAGGAGAGCTGATATTACGTAACTTTCAAGTACTCTTTTCTTCGTTTTTATCGAAATTTTCCTGTTTCTTAATACTTTGTTCAGCTTCCGGGATGCCTATTCGCCTTCGGATTTCACTGTCGCTTTTTAGGTTCTCTGATAATAAACTTTCCAAATATTTAAATTGTTGCTTGATTTTGGAATCTCCAATTTGTAATTTGCATATTAGGCTGCCCATTTTGCTGACAACCATACATTGGATCTTCTGACAATTCATATTTAGTCCTTCCTTCTGACTTTCCTTCATTGCCTTCTGTAGTTCTTGTAGTTTCATTTCAGTTTTTGTTATCAACAATATGTCGTCTGCATATATAGATTGTGGCCGCCAATAATGAATCCTGGTAAGACTTCTAACAACCTCAGAAATGCTTCACTGTAATGGTTGACTAAGTTCGGTGAGAAGACACGCCCTTATTTTACACACATAATTTACATGTTCTATTTTTAATATTATTTAGAGATACTTTCATTATTTTCCATTTGATTTTTGTATGTATGTTTTTTTTTTCTTTTTGAGTCCACATATATTTAGATAATGTGTTGTTTGCATACCTATTTAATTTGAATGACATTTTATTATTATTAAATCTTTCCTTAAATGTTGTCTAAGTAACTCGTATATAATATTTTAGTTCTGTGTTGATATTATTTGATACAGTTGCTTTATATATTATATTTTGGGTTAAGCCTTTAATATAAAGTGGGCAGTTATTTTTATTTCGACAATTACACTTGTTGGTATTATTCTGATTTGAGCAAGTGGAAAGTAGAACAGGGTTTGGGAGAAATAACAAAAAAAAACAAAACCTAATAAAAGTTACAGAAGACAGGAAAATGTGGAAAGCCATGGACGCCAACGCCTTGAAGGGAAACGGCATATAAAAGAAGGAATGTTATTGTTCCTGATTTGGCAGTACTTTTCCTTCAGTCGTAACGTAGCTTCATTGTGTTTTTTCTATAAATTCTTAGATGTTAATTATTCTGATAATCTATTATTCTGATAATCTATTATTCTGGTATCTAGACTTTATGAATTTAAGTGTAGTTCTAGATTATCGGCAAGGTTTCATCACTTTAAAATGGAAATGACTAGATGCAACCGTAAGTTCTATTCTATTTTTTCTGCTGAATTTATTTTCTATTCAAATGCAGGCAGTTAAACCGCCTGTATAGGTTTGGGATTATTCTAATACCCTTCCCAAAATATGTCAAGGTTACATAGCAGTTCCAAGAATTCTTGATGACGGATTTTGCTTTCTATAAAACAATAATAATAGAATTCAAAAAAACGTACTATCTCATAGACATTTCATCTCAGCTGACAAAAACATATCAGCAAAAGATTTTCACCATCTTTCAAAATATAAGATAAAACGTGCAATTCCAATAATAACAGGAGCATAAGGAATTGGTAAAATGAATAATGCGGTCGACATTGAGGAAATAAACACATATTCAGAAAAAAAGTCATTCAATATATGTTCAATAGGCTTCTAAAAGAAAAACTTCATTTGCAGCAGGTAAAAGATTTAGTGGAAGATTGTGTCAAACAACAAGAAGAGGAGGAAGAAGAAAAAAATGAGAGGAGGATATAAGAAATAAACGTGAGTCGGGGAGAACAAAACTACACACGATAAGTGCAACAAAGAGGAAGAGGAGAAAAAACAGTTAAGTACCAAAAGGGAGAGTATTAGGAGGAAAAACGAAGAAGCAGGAAGAGGAGAAAGATTACAAAATAGAAAGGAGGAGGAAAACAAAGCAGTGAATACAAAGTGGGGAGCATTAGAACGACAAAACGGAGGAGGCGGCAGGGGAGAATGCTGCAAAATAGGAAGAAGTAGGGGGAGAAAGCAGTGAATAAAAGGGGAGATTATTTGAATGAAAGACGGAGGAGGAGGTAGACGAGAAAGATCTCAAACGTAGTTGAGTAGAAGGAGGAAGCAGTAAATGAAAAGTGGGGAGTAATAGAATGCAAGACGGAGGGTGAGGAGAAGGAAAAAATGCTCATAATAGTGAATAAAAACGGGAGAGAAATAGAATGAAAAACAAAGGAGGAGGAAGAAGAGAAAGTGCTCAAATTAGGGAGAAGTAATGGGAGAAAACACTGAATACAACGTTGAGAGTTACAGAATGAAAAACGAAGTAGGAGGAAGTTCTCAAAAGTGGGAGAAGTGGTGAAAGAAAGCAGTAAATAAAGAGTGGAGAGAAATAGAATGAGAAACAGACGATGATGAAGAGGAGAAATATCTCAAATGAGGTTGAAGTAGAAGGGAGAAAGCAGTTAATAAAGTGGAGAGGGTAACAATGAAAAACGGAAGAGGAGAAGGAAGAGGAGAAATACCTCAAAAGTGGTTGAAGTAATGGGAGAAAGCAGTTAATAAAGTGGAGAGGGTAACAGAATTAAATCCAAAGGAGGAGGAAGAGGAGAATTATCTGAAATGAGGTTGAAGTAGAAGAGAGAAAGCAGTTAATAAAGTGGAGGGGGTAACATAATGAAAAACAGAAGAGGAGAAGGAAGAGGAAAAATATCTCGAGAGAGGTTGAAGTAAAGGTAGAAAGCAGTTAATAAAGTGGAGAGGGTAACATAATGAAAAACGGAAGAGGAGAAGGAAGAGGAGAAATATCTCAAGAGAGGTTGAAGTAAAGGTAGAAAGCAGTTAATAAAGTGGAGAGGGTAACAGAATTAAATCCAAAGGAGGAGGAAGAGGAGAATTATCTGAAATGAGGTTGAAGTAGAAGAGAGAAAGCAGTTAATAAAGTGGAGGGGGTAACATAATGAAAAACAGAAGAGGAGAAGGAAGAGGAGAAATATCTCGAGAGTGGTTGAAGTAAAGGGAGAAAGCAGTAAATAAATTGGATAGGGTAACAGAATTAAATAGGAAGGAGGAGGAAGAGGAGAATTATCTGAAATGAGGTTGAAGGTGAAGGGAGAAAGCCTTAAATAAAGTGGAGAGAGTAACAGAATGAAAAACGGAAGAGGAGAAGAAGAGGAGAAATATCTCTAAAGAGGTTGAAGTAAAGGGAGAAAGCAGTTAATAAAGTGGAGAGGGTAACAGTATTAAATAGGAGGAGGAGAAATATTTCAAAATGGATGAAGTAGAGAGGAAAAGCATTAAATAAAAAGGGGAAAGTAATAGAATGAAAAGCGGAGGAGGAGGAAGAGGAGAAAGATCTCAAATGAGGTTGAAGTAGAATAGTATTAAAATGAAATACGAAAGAAGAAACTGGGAAGGAGAGGTGTAGCAAGAGGAGAAAGAAAGAAAAAGGCATAGAGTAGTTAGAAATGAATATGAAATGGAGAATAATAGAATAAAAAAAAACTAATAGGGAGAATAGAAGACAAGATATTGCAAAGAGAAGCGAGAATATCGATAAAAAATCGAAATGAAACAATATAAATAGAAAAAGAAACAAATCGATATGAAATGGTATTAAAATGAAAAAAAATAAAAGGTGTGGCAACTGGGGAAGAATTAAAGGAGACATAGGAGAAAGAGGAAAATAAAAGAAAGAGAAGAGTGAATAAAGAACACAAAAGAAGAAAGAAAGGAGAAAATACAGAAAAGTGGACAGTGGCTTATAATTATTTACCAGCTGCCCCACGCAGCAAGGTGTGGCACAAGGCCGAGTTTAAAGTGGGGTATCCCTGCCCGTAGGCCCGGACAAAAAAATCCCTAGAGACCACGTGAAAACGGAGTCAGTTTCCCAGTGGCTTATAAGTAACCAAAGGAGAAGAGTGAACCAGAAATTTCGAGAGAAACCTTTTACCTTCCGTAATCTCAGCCCCTAAACCAATTTACAAAGAAAATATTTTGATATTAAATAAAAAAAAAAAAAAAAAAAAAAAACCTAAATAAAACCCTGAATATAAATGTAAGTTATTCGACTGAAATTTGGCGTGTTACACATTAAATAAGATATGATAAATAGTTTACCTTTGACTCTTTACTTCAGTCACGCCGACTGTCAATTGTTCAATTTCCTGGGGAAACGGGAGTCGAATTTCTAAATGTGGCCGACCGTAAATTAAACTAAATGTTTGTTCAGAAGTTGTGAATGGGGACAAATATTGTTATTGACAGTCGAGATCTAAAAATCGGTGTCATTTGCGAACATTTACATTGTTCCATGGTGTTCTTTACTAAAGGCCAATTACAGTGCATCTCTCGCCTAGAGCTAGAGGCCATTTTTAAATACTGTCGTTTCACTGGGTGCGAGGATTCTTAGTTTCAATTTGGGATTGCGTTAGTTCGCCGTGTAATCGGCGGTAATCGGTTAAAATATCTGAAAATATAGAATTCAACTTATTTAATTTAATTGACATGAGCTTTACGTGACAACGCTCTTAATAAGCAATTTTTTTCATTAATTTTGTAGTATATAATATCACCTTTGCACTTATCTCATATTTTCGACGGTAAACTAAAATTGAATATACTTTTTTAAAATACCTTTTAGAAAGAAAAACAAAAAAATAATTTATTAATCTGATTTTTTCTAGTCATTCTTACAGTCTCTGACAAAATTTTAATTTTAATGTTTTGCTATCTTTATATTTTAACAAACTTTTCTTCCGAATGAATTTTCCTCGATTTTGTTTTTAGACTGCTAAATCTATTTAAAATGCTATTTGTTGTTTCATAAAATTCAATTAATATTTTTCTTTATGACATTGTTATTAAGGAAAACAAATATATCAATGACGCCATTTAATTTGTACCTTTCTTTCTAAAATGCATTTTTAAATAATGAAGATCGGAGCAAACTTTTTCTTTTATACCAAATTACCGTCCTGGATATGACGATAAACTACATCCGCGTCCACGGTAAGACGATAAACTACGTCCAGCAGCAAGGCATCTGATCAGGAGGTTTTGAGGAGCGTGGAACCAACTCTTAATTGCTGGTGTTCCCAGGTCCATCCTCACCCGGGTGGTAGCACCTGTTAGGGTCCCAGCTATGGGCAAATAGTTAATCCCGAAATTGAGTTAAAAAAAAAACATTATAAAAGTGTAAAATATGTTTTAATACCAGAAATACTTTGTAAAAAATTATTACCAGAAATAAATTTTTGAAGACATAAATATTATCAGCAATACGTTTTTGGAAAAAATATTACTAGCTGTACGTTTGTGGAAAAAATATTACTAGCTGTAAGTTTTTGGAAATATAATATTACCAGATATACGTTTTTGAAATAATATTACCAGCTATAAGTTTTTGGAAAAATAATATTACCAGCTATACATTTTTGAGGAAAAAATATTAACAGAAATAGATTTTTGACAAAACAAAAATATTATCAGGAAAAAAAAGTTGTCGGCATGAAATGACCCATTGAGGTTGATATGGCGTAAAACAAAACAAACCAAACCAAACTAAACTACACAATTAATGAAAAATCATTAAGAACGTTGTTACATAAAGTTAATGTCAATTAAATTCAATAAGTTTCATTCGGTATTTTTAGATATTGCAAATGAAATGTACAAAAAGTTAACTATAAAACTCCTGCTCGACCATGAAGTTTCAAATACCTTTTTTTTCCACTTTTACCTTTCTACTTCCATAAATATATTTATGACAAAATAAGTCAGTATAAAAAGAGATATATAATTTCTAAACATTAAAATATATAAAATAAAAAGTTACTTTCATGTTTATTTTGTTTATTGTTATATTTTTCATAGTACCGATGATTTTCTTTTATTAAATCTGTTTTAAGGAGGATAATTAATTCGCATATTTAAAAGCATATAAAATATCGTACACCCCTGCTAACGGGGTGGGAAGTGACGGATCTCAAGCTCTGCCAAATTATTTTTTAATTTAAAAAAAATACATTCTAAACCATTTTTTCTTAAGCTAAATACAGCAGGGAAAATTTGGCAAATTTAAATCGAAACTAAAAGTCTTCACGCACAAAAGAATAACAAGATTTTAGATAAACCGCCTGTTCTGGGCAAAAGATGCACCATGACTTGGCCTTCAGGAAAGAACGCCATCTATTGTTCTCATTTTTAAAGTAGATACTGGGAAGATAAGGCTAAAAAATTATTATAAAACACCATATATTAGGTTGGTGCAAAATAATGACGTAATAATGTCGTTTTTGACGTATTTTTTAACGTCAAAAAACGACATTATTACGTCATTATTTTTGCACAACCTAATATATATATATATATATATATATATATATACATACATATATATATATATATGTATGTGTGAATAAAAAGACAAGAGGAAAAACTATTCTTAGCCGACGTGTTTCGTCCTCTGAGGGAATTTATCAAGGCAAATGTAGGAATTGTTGCAAGAGCAATATCAACTGAATATTATTTGCTTACTTTTGCCATACCAGTCCTCCATATGTTTTGATTGGCCTTTCAACCACCTGATGAATATTCATGAACGTTCTCAAATTTAAAAACCTTGATAACCTAATGACATCCTTGCTCTTGTATATAAACACGTGAAACAAATTAAATCCTACATTTGACTTGATAAATTATCTCCGGGGACGAAATGCATCGGCTAAGAACAGTTTTACTTTATATATATATATATATATATACACACACACATATATATATATATATATATATATATGATAGAAATTAGGATTTGAGATAATTTTAATTAGGTAATTTATCGAATCTAGAAGAAACCTCAACAGAATGCAGAAAGCACTGGATATTTTTGGGACATTTTTTTTCCTATATTTGGGACTCATCAGCAGTACGCATCCACTACCGAGACTCGAAACCCGGACAGTTACATTATCAGGCAAACGTCATACCAACTGTTCCAACGGGCCACGATGATAAAGAGGTAGCGAATTAGACAATATATATAGCGCCGCTCGATCGCATATTCCGTGGTGGAACTCATCCGAGTTTCTCCTTTACCCATAGGACTCTGTCCCCATGAGCCGCTCCATCCAGATCATTAGAAGCTGGTTCAAGCAAGGATATACAAGTGATAAAAATGACAAACATCCGAAACACAGATGCAGAGTTATCAATTAAATAAATTTAATACTGTGACATACAATGGAAAAACAATATAAAATATACGACAAAAACAAAAACAATAAGTCAAAAACAATTGTTGTGTGACATAATAACAGGAAGCGTGGAGAATTTATCCTCCCAGAAAGGTAATAGAACGATGAATAGAAGATCTTAGATCAGGCCAAAATGGAAATACACACTATGACAAAATACATTGAGCAAAGTGGAGACATGAAAGAGAAACAATGATTTATCCGACAATTATTGTAATATATCTTCTTTGTTATACGTTATTTATATTCTTTTATTTCGTAGTTTGTGACGTCATTTGTTTAGATTCACTTCGAGCAGATATGAAGGTTCGAGGGAAATCATGGAAAATTGTAGTTTAAAAACAGTAAAATCGACCTTGCTAACCAGACGCTCTTCAATAGCTAAACTAAGTATAACACGTCTGAATATATGACGGTTTAGTAAATGATACAGGTTCGATGGAAATATATTTTATATAAATTTTTTTCAGACGTTCAGGCCGGTAAATGTTGTTAATACTGTTTATTATAAACAGAGCATTTACTTAAATACTGCTGTCTATATAAGTAACGTTACAATAAAATATATTAAGATAATTATCGGACTTTGTCCATTAAGAAGTGCAAGATTAGAATTGTAATAAAACTTAAACATATCAAAATGAAGTTTTACAGTTTCTTTGTCCTTGAGAAATGACAACAAAGACAATAAACAAAATTTATTCATTGCTTATTTATTTACTTTTCTGTTTATTATATTTATTGGAATTATTGGCAAAGCATTGGTTAATTTCGAATTGGTTCGAAGTTTATAAAATCGTAAATAATAAGATAATTAGTTTACATATTTTAATAATTTAGTAAATGTATATAACTTCATGAATAAAAAATTGCTTTCAGTGTTTCTTTATAGATGGGTAAATGACAAACATTGCATTGTATAAGTTTTCAATCAATTGTATTAGATTTTAAAAAGCTGTAAATATAAAATTATTCTTGGAAATAAACAATCTAAAAACAATGTTTAATATTTTTGTTGTCAATTCTCAAGGACAAAAATGTTTATAAATTCACTTTCATCATATGTTTGGTTTTTATTACAGTTCTAATAATCGCTTTTTAGTGAAGCTAGTTAAAATAATAGCGGTGTCAACGGAAAGACACGATGTTTTTTGGCTACCAAAAATTGATATTATGTCTTTTAAGGGTGTTTCTATAAAGTTCTGATGTGCATAGTTGTAAAATCGTGATAAGAAAAATTATTAATTCATATCATAATTTCGCGTCGTGATTTACGACAAGAGCTTTCTATTCATAAAAGAAAAATAAAAGTTGCCAAAACTCCAAATGTATGTTATAAACAAATGGGTTATGTATTGGATCGACATTGACTTGTAATCATTTAGAAGAAATGTAAATACTGAGTGTATTGACGTATCCATTGCTTTCAACGTCACTATAATATTTCTTTTTACACGAGGACATTTTATGCTTTCCTAACATACAAACGTCAGATTACCATGCT